TCTGTTCTCTTCTAGAATTCCCATTCCTTCCCAGGAAACTAAGAACTTCCGACGAAGACACGTCAACGCCGTCAATGAAGATCTTACTAAAATTACAGCATTATGGGGCACCAACAACTTATTTGAAATCATTTTTTTTGTATCTCTTGTATTTTCTTCAGAGAAAAGCGGAACTCAGTATGCCCTGATATATTAATATCGACAACCAGTCCCACAAAGTCAACTATATCTACCGATATCTATGCTCGGTATTTCCATGTCCGAACCATCGCAAAAGCTGCTTCACAAAAACTCGGATTTATATTCCGTGCAGAAATCAACTTAACACCTAAACATCAGATTCCCATATTCTATACAAGGCACAGTTACGGCCAGTTTTTGAATACTGTTCCACATAATATGGAGTTCAGCACCCAAACATACACTGATGCTCTTATAAATTCCATCCAGAGAAGAGCTATTCACCTGGTGGGTGATGCCACACTCACTAACTCTTCGACCTCATTAGAACGGAGAAAAGTTGGCGAAATATGTCTATCTCTATCAACACTTTACCAAAACTCGTTCGTGTATAGAATGGCATTGCTTTGGACTTCTATGCTTAAGGAAGTATATTCCTAAGAACTTATAATCCTCAAAAGTTCAAAAAAATTCCAACACTTACTGCCTCCCATAATAATAGTTTCCTTTCGTGCGCTCCTAGAGATAAATAAAATAGTATTGAGATTAACGAATATGTTTATTTATACTCTCACCGGCAAAAAATACGGTCAGGAAAAAATGTATTACCCTATTCGATCGCCCAGTAACTTTGAAAATTATTATTGTCCGATTATGGAGAAATGCCGAACAAATCGTTAATTCAGGTTTTGGAATGAAGGTATGATTTCAATTCCCCCAAAAGAAGGGAAAAACATATAAGTTACTCTTTCACCCGTAACTTCTTGACCTATGGCAAAAATGAATAGATATACTTGGCTTCATTATAATTTGGATCAAAATGTGATACCTACCTTTTTAACTTCGTTTTTAACACAATGATTTTTTAATTGCGTCAATATCTTGTGTTTATGAGAAGGTGAAAGTGTTCGAAGAGTATATGGAAATTTTCAATTTTTACCGAAATAATAATTAAGAACCTATATATATACCGGGTGTCCCAGACCTTTTCATCAAGAAAATATCTCTGTTACGCTGCTTGGAAACGATATTTGAGAAATACTATTTTGGTAAACCGTCGGTTAAACCAATATGACTATATAAAGCAATTTTTTCGAAGTCAACTTTTGTCAAACTTTCCCTGAAAAAACCACCTCCAACTCCATTTTTTCAAGTAACACCCTATACTTTTTTTGATATGTGAAGTACAATCAATCCTTACTTCAACGATGTACCACACACAAAAATAATTATAACAAAAAAATTATCTACTGTTCCTTTGAATTTTGGTATTTTTCGAGGTATTTTTGAAGTAATACGTATGTCGAAATATCAAGTCAGTGTGATACATCGTTGAAGTTAGAATTGATTGCACTTCACTAATCAACAAAAAAATGCATAGGGTGTGACTTGAGTTGAAGGTGGTTTATCAGTGGTAGTTTGACAAAAGTTGACTTTGACACAATGGTTTCAGTTATTTGGGTGAGTGTAGTTTTTTCAATCATTTTCCACCCAGCATAACCGAGATATTGGCATTATGATATAGTAGTTCTCGAGTTTACCTAACAAGAGCGGAAAGTAATACTTTTTAAACTAGTATACGGAAAAAATACAATTTCCTCTTCCAACACAAAAGTGCGGAAACGGTTACTTTTCTGCACGCTAGTAGTAAAAGATCTTATAGACTATAATAGAGTACCCTCGAGAGTACCATTGGGAGGCAGGAGCGCATTTGGATATGTTGGGTCTTCCAGAGGTAAACGATTCCCCCGAGGATTCCATCTTCCAGAAGAATTTGCCACGGTGGTTGAATGCTATGATTCATGCCCAAGGAGGGCATATTCGTTATTGACTACATATATATAGGAAGCCTGTTTTTGGTTCGTTTTTTCTGTGACGGGAAAAAAGTTTGAAATTTCATGAATGTCACTTTTCATAAATTTTATTTTCACCATGGGAAAAAAGTGACTTTTTTCCCGGATATATATCACTGTTGGTGGCTTTTGTTGTGCTATAGTTCCGGAAAATAAGCCAAACACTATCTACGAGACTATCTACGAGAAAGAACTTCTATTCGACGTCGCGGTTACGTAATAGTAATTTACGCGACAACCACTACATTGGCAATTTTCGAAAATCAAATCACAGAATTAGACTGACAGATATTTGAATAACTCTCAAACGAATGATAAAGATGCCTGCAACGCATCAGGTGTCTTTACTGTTCGAAACTTTGAATTTCACATCGATATTTTTCTGATGTAAATATAAAGTAATATCTTCCCAATATTAATTCGTCCTTTTTCGTGTCACAGAAAAAAATAGTGTATTATTTGTCTCTCTCCGCTACGCGTCGGGAGACAACACAACCTGGAGCTAAAATCTATTACTCTCTGTCCTTGGATAATAAATTACTATTTTTATAATCCAGGTTTTTTTAGTAATTTTTTTTAGTGCTAAGAAAACGGGGTGAAAATGGGCGATATTGACTTTCATATTTTTTTCATATTGCTGATCGATTCATGTAGAATTTGAGTTAATATTCTTAAAAATTGCATACTTCCTTGAAAACCTGTATCTTCAATTAATAAGAAAATATTGACGTGAATTGAGTATCATATTGTAGATCACTCTCGAGATCACTCCACTTCAATCCTAATTTAATGAGCTGCATTTAATGGTACACATTTGTCACATTACGTTAACAATTTAAGGGTTAAAGAGTAACTTTTGTTTTTCCCTGTATGATGATCAAGCCCACAGCTTTTCTTCTGCACTTTAATGAAATGCAGGCTAACATCGCGAAACATCAATTAACGATTTTGGTAGAATATCATCAAAATGGAATAACAATTAAGAAAGTTACAAGCGATCAATTTGGATTATACGAAAATTCAGCTGGATATTGAATCAGCAGAATAAAATCATGTCCTTCGTTAGATATTTCTATAAAATTATGTAATTTTGTCAAATGATTAGACAAAATGCGAGGGGTAAATCTCCTTGGAAGTCTGGTGTACACTCAGTTGGAAGTCTTTGGAATTCTTTGGAATTCTTTTAATGTTTTTGGATGTCTTTGGAAGTCTTTGGATGTCTTTGGAAGTCTTTGGATGTCTTTGGAAGTCTTTAGAAGTCTTTGGGAGTCTTTGGAAGTCTTTGGGGGTCTTTGGAAGTCTTTGGAAGTCTTTGGAAGTCTTTGGTAATTGGAAGTCTGGTGTACACATTTTTCCTGGAGATTTACCCCTCGACAAAATGCATATATAACAGTGTCATTCGTGAAGTCGGTACCATATGGAAGTATTCCCAAGCACTTACAACCTCCAGAAGTTCATGAAAAATCCATCACGTACCTCCTCTACCTATCCTACCTAGGTACGCACGCATGTTCCACGAACATTATAGGAATTTCCTTTCGTACGCTCCAGGAGATGAAAAAATAAAAAATATGCGAAAAATTTTCAATATAAATTTATATCGAATTTCCACATGGGTGTTGAGTTTTGCATGAAAAAATAAGGAAAATGAACCTTTCGGTCGGATTCACGTGACTCGCTAAATGTCAATTCAATTTTTTTCGAATTATTCGCTGAAAATAGGCTTATTTGTTTGAATATCGGAAAATTTTATTGAAAAAAGTTGTTTCTATTTCAATTTAACTTATGTGGCTCAAAGTTGAACGTTCTATAACAACTTTTAGTTTTTGATATTTTTTAAATTTCTACGAAATGTCTGTAATATCAAAAGAAGTAACACCGACAAAACTATTTCATTCTATAGTAACTTTTTCGTGCTTCTTACTTTCAATTACCAGTTACCGACAGAAATATAATCATAATCACTGTTTCAAATTTCTGAGTCATCTATCATTTTATCATCAAACTACTTCACGTATCTAACCAAATTTAGGGACAGTTTTGTCGAAGTTACAATTATTATAAAGAATCAAAAAATATCAAAAACTGAAAGTTGCATTAGAACGTTCAATTACGAGACAAATGTGTAAAATTGGAATGAACACAACTTTCTTCAGTTAACAGTTTTGAAATTCGAACGAATGAGCCTATTTTCTGTGAATTATTTGAAAAAAAATTAACTTTTGACATGAAGCGAGAGTCACGTGACTTTGACCCAGTAGGCCATTTTTAAGTTTTTTCTGAAGCAAAGTAGAATTTCCAAATGAAGTAGTTTTAAAAGTTCCTCCCATATGATGTCAACTTTATGAATGACACAGTATATCATTGATTGAACAGTTGAATCAGAATCATAAACCTTTCCCATTTCAATTTCTAATATTTTTTACAGAAACGAAATATTGTTCAGATGAGCAAATATTTCAGTAACGTATTTTGTTCTTCGAGAAGGTACTGAAAGTTTTTTTCTCCAAGCGCCAGACAACTTGGCTTTTTTTTCTATTATACTCAACAGGCAGAAAAGGTGAACTTTATCTGCCCAGGCAGGAAAATTTTGTTGCTATGCAATAATTTTAGTGAAATTATCAATCAAAATGCACACAGACATCCGGTGAATACAAAATCAGGTCGTTTCGAATAAGAGAAATAACAAAAAATTGGTTTTATAACGTTTGAAGAAAAAATGTAGATTGAATGCCTTGGCTAAATTTCTAGCCTCGCTACGCTCATTGGCTATGAACTATCATCCGAGGCAGTCAATCTACTACTTTGCTGCTTAGTGAAACAAATTACTATTTTGCCGGTGCAACAAATATTTTTATTCGTGTCGAACTTCACGACCCTGTATCTCAAAAACTAATCACCTCATGTTTCTATACCTCATTCCCGGACAAATCCCGATATTCCCAAAAACCCTTCCCAAAAACTCACATGTTTGTGCAAAAGTCAAAATCTTCTCTGTCTTGGTAAAATAGTCCTCCTCCTCCTCAGTCACAGTCACCCCCGCCCCACCGTAAGGCTGGTCCCCCAGCATCCCCCCATTCTGTTCCTCAATCTGCGCCAAAAAAGCCTCAGGCACCTGAGGCAGAGCCTTGCCCGTCATATTAGGCGCCTCCTGGAAACCTATCCTCCTCAAGATCTCCTCTTTGATCACCATGAGATTACGCTGCTTCAGCTCTTCCCGCATCATCCGGCAGTTGTGGCACCCTGAGGCCTCAGGCTCAGGCTCCGAGCCAGCGGAGCCTTGGTATTTCCGCTTCTCTATACTGTTGGATCTGTTGGAATGTCTGTCACTGAAGGTGTGAGGGATCAAGAGGCAGATGATGAGGAAGTAGGCTAGGGCTTTGTTGCCTGGGCCTAGGAGTTTTTTGACAGTTATCAGAAAGTTCGTTTTGAAATTGTTGGAGGTGTAGTGAAGGGGCATGTTGGTGAAGTTGAGAATCACGAAGGTTCAGGTAAGGCACTGTCTAGCGTCCGCGTTTCAGTCAGTTATCCATCACAAATTTTAGTTTCACTTTTTTGTCACTCATTTTCGTTGTGATCGCGGTACGATTATCGCGAAGTTTATCGCCGGTTGCGATTTGAAAAATGACGGTTGTCGCGAGCTGGTTCACTTCGTTAATCTATGCTTCGTGTGTGAGATTTGAGATGTGTGTGTTAGGCACTGAAGTGTGTACCGTGGATCGGTCTCTATATATGTGTTCTGTGGCTCAGTGCGTGTGTATAGCGTCGTTATTAGGATCCCAGCGGCTTGATAAGTGTGGTCGGCAGGGCTTTCGTATACCGTGCGAGATATTGGAGTTTGGGGGGTTGGTGGGTCTGTACCCCTATTTCGAGTTTTCGCATTTGCAGCGCACATATGCAAAAAGAATTTTGAGACATAATTATTTAGGTGAAGTCGTAGAAGAGCTATCAGTCATCTCCACAATTCTTTAATGAAAATCTCAAACGGTTTAAACACATGTTTCGAACCTATGCGTACAGGTTCATCTTCAGCTAAATGCAAAAAATTCTACAATAAAAGATAAGAATAAATTATTCAGAAAAAACGTACATCACTAGTTGGGCTCAAAGTAAACCTCAACTTTTGTTAACTCCCCTCGAAACCATCTAGTTGAGCGGTTATTGAGTTGTACGTTTTTTCTGAATTATTTAATCTCATTGTTACTACGTTGTAAACATATTTTGTTTCCTCTTTATGAAAGTACTGATTAAAATCAACACATTTCTCCATTTATAGCTATATCTTTTGTAGAATTTTTGCATTGAGCTGAGCAGGGGCGTCCGGAGGCGGAAACAAGGGGGGAGGCGCTCGCCCCCTCCCCTAGCGCCTGGTCTTTACTCAGATACTTTATAAACAAGATACATTTGCATTATTCAATGCCTTTTCTGATTAGCGCTTATTATAGTGACTTTCTGAGACTTTGTTTAATAAGTATTCGTCGACATCTTAAGATAAATATAGAGTTAATTTTATCAAAGAAGTTATTGATAAATTTGCTCAAGACTCTATAAGAATGGCATTTTTGTTCGAACAAGATTATCATCACGTGCAATTTTTTATTGTTATCTTGGCTGTAAACAGAATACCTATGTGGTGTCAATTCAATTAATTTTCTTTTTCTTATTTCTTTTTTTATGTAGAATAATAGTAGATTATATATTGAGAGAGTAAAGTGCATGGTTTTTCCAGAGGTGGTTTTGTAGCCAGAGGGTGCAAAAAAACAAAAATGCACTGAGGGAAGAAAGAACTCACTTCCGAGGTTTAATTTTTTGCACGACTCGGCGATTGTAATTGAAAGAATTTCATGATGAAATCAATTATTGTCAATATGGAAATGGAAATCTGAACACAATAATCACGAAATCAAGTTATTTGATTATTATGACTACCGATAAAGAAGAGTAGCCATATTGTGTGGTAGCATATTTTCTTGATTGCTTTCCAAACTTCTTTCAATAAATAATGCAGGAATGTGTGGAAAAACTATTGAAGAAGCTGCTCCAAACATAGTGGTAGATTCATTTCCAGAAAAATCCCGGAACATTTTTTAGCCTAGGAAGTGCCTGCTCTGTATACCTACCCTGTATCCTGTATTCCCGCTTTTGTTGGTGTGAAATCGCACATTATTTATTGTGACTTGCCCCTCTCTGAGATTATTTCTGCGGACGCCCCTGGCAGAAGATGAACCTATATAGGTTCGAAACATGTCCGAAAATCGTTTGAGATTTTCATTAAAGAAGTGTGGAGATGGCTGAAAGTTTTTCTACTACATCCATTTACTCCTCTTTGAGATGCCATGGACTTACTACAAATTAGTTATTTAGGTACCAATTTGTTTCTGTAACGGGAAATACAACGATTCAATATTGTCTATATTGATTATTTTTCCACATATCAAAATGTGACGTTTTCGTTATTTCAACCAATATCAATCTATCCAAATTACAGTGAAAATTTCACACCAAACATTTTCGACCAATTTAACGCCTGTATTTCGTATCGTTACCATAGCAACTGAACAAATTTCTTGGAAATTTTTTCCTCCTCATTGGGGGACGGAGCATGAAATTACACTGGAAATGTTTTGACGTTTATAGGTTGAATGACATTCACATTCAACTTCAGATTATTTCGAATTCATTCTATAAGTCAATAAATAAAAATCATTCATCAACAGTTTACCATATAATATTATGTAGGTATACTTGCAAATTCGAATTTTACAAAAACACATGTTGTTTTCTTACCGAATACCACTTTAGCTTCAATTAATATCCGCGAATTTTTTCTCGAACACGAATATTTAAAAAATTCTTCCTCGTTTTCGACCATTTTCAAAATATTCGTGTTCTCGAAAAAATTTCCGGAAATAATTGAAGCTTTCGTGATATAATAAGTGATAATTTCTTCACGTTTGGATCTTCGTTTAAAGAGGTCCCATAGACTGCGTTGTTTGTGTATGCTCTTTTGTTCGACGAACAAGTCTGCAAAACTGGAGTGTATGGCTGTAAAATGTTCGTTTTTGCTGGGCATTTTGCAAAATAGTTGAAAAAATAATCTCGCCGAATTACATTCGCGGTGGATATTTTTTCTATAATCTTATCTAGATTAGCACTCGTCTTTGTTGCTATTGAGAAATCCCACTCGTGAGATTTCTGAAGCAACAAAGATTTCTGCATCTACTTAAGATTATCAAAATAATACCACCACTTCTGCCATCACTGTTGAACATTTTTTGACTTTTATAAGTAAAATGACACTTACAATAATTGACTTTAGATTATGTCGAGTTCTTTCTATGAGTCGATAAGTTCCTAGAAAGAAAATATATGTCTACCAACTTTAGCTAAATAAATTCGTAAAAGACTGAGTGATTGAGATACTACGAAGCCCTGGAAGGGACACATAAAATTAAAAGAATGAAACTCTTCTAAATTCTGAGTTAAAACTGAGAAATTGAAAATTCCGAGTTATAACTCGGAATTTTACATCCAATATTCCGAGTTATAACTCAGAATTTTAAAATTCCGAGATATAAGTCGGAACTTTAATGTGAAATCAGTGAAATTCCGAGTTATAACACGAAATTTTAAAATTCTGAGTTATAACTCGGAATTTTGAATGTAAAATTCCGAGTTATAACTCGGAATTTTGAAGAGTTGATTTTTTTTTATTTTACGTGTTCCTCTCAGGCCTTCGTAAGATACTTTATCGACTTATCTTTTATTATTTCATTTGACTAGAGTTTCAAGTCTCTCGTGAGGAAATATATTCCTCCCAACTTCATCAAAATGAATTTGTCAAAAACTGTGGAGTTGAGCTGAGAATCTCCTGATTTGTGGAATATTCCAATGATTTACATTCGTGCATGCATGAAAATGACAAGATAATTTTGCATTCAAGCGTGTGATACAAATTGCATTGGGTTATTTTCATATTTTGGCGAAAGAGCCCGGACTATAGGATCTTTATTTATAAATAAACTCGATAACAAGCATTCTTGCAAAATGGGCGGGTGAACTGATAATGTAATATTGGCATTCAATTACTCCACTGTGTCGTTAAGGAACTAAATTGATTTTTGCAATACTTCTCACTCTTTTTTTATGCAAATAATGAGTCTATTCGCTCTTTAAAATTTTTGAATTTCAGAGCTCATTCAAACGTACCGTCTTGACCACCATTTGGCGATACGTCGAATAAATGATGATGTCAGTTTTTATGCTGTTTCGTTATTGGTCAGATAATATTCCATTTCCACTCATGAAGCAAGGTTGTCAAGTCACCATTTATAATCAATTTATCAAAAAGATTAGAGTCCTATCGTTGAATAAAACACGATAAAACATAATATTAGAAAGCCATCAAATAATAATTATTCATGAAAACACCTTCAATTAATATACCTAATGTTATCTGTTATTATAAGCAACAAGCGACAACAGATGAGGACATATTTTGAGACAATTGATTTTTCATGTCTAGTTAGGTATATGACCAATACAGAATTGAGAATTCATGAATTATTGAATAATTAATATTTCTGAAGTTCCTATCGTATTTCAACATATGGCAACTATGCATGGTCTGCCTCTGTTTACGAAATCGTGAAGTCAGTTTTTACTCGCGGTAAATAATTAGCCGTTCGAAAATTACCGTGGTGATATTGTTGATTTTAGAACCTTAAAATCGAACGAAAAATTCTACAAAAATATGAAATTGAAAAGTATTTGAGTGAAATGGAACTAAAAATTCTAAAAAAACTTGAAATTGAAAGGTATTGGAGTGATGATTCTATTAAAGGAATAAAAAAACTTTGTCCACTCGTCCATTATCGGTTATTTTTATGACGGTAAATGGATAAAAGTTACTATGAAGAGGCCTAAAGCGGGGGTAAGCCGGCAAGATATCGAATAAATTACTTAGAATCCGATTCTATACACGCATCAAGAGTGAAATGGAAAAGCAAAATCGTCAAAATTTGCCGTTGAATTTTTATTATACAGGGTGTCCCATAAGTCATTTCAAATCGAACTAACCGCATATGTGGTTATCCAATTGTTGATGGTTCCAAAGTTAGTAATGTTTTTTCATTTCTATGAAAACAATTGATTACAATAAAACTATGTCACATTTGTGACTTTTTCTTGTACAAATTTCATCCACATAGATACACCTTCCACCGGAAATAATTTTATGACATGTATATTACTTCTTATCAATCACCGGAGAAAAATGTTGTTTTTCTTGAATTTTGTCATCGAATGAAATGTCGAAAAGTCGATTTTTAAATGCCGCTGGCAGATTTAAAAACTACCCCACGAAGATAACCAATCATATGAAAAAGTTGCCCATTTAATACAGATTCCGAAATGGTATAACATAATGGAGTAATTCAGAACAGCCTTTTTGTTTTTTCGAATGGGTCGCATATTTAAGAGAAGTATGTACCGTAAGTTTGATTACAAATGACCCCCCTACACCTCACTTCTTTTGATCCATTACTTACCCTGATAACACACTTATGTCTCATGGATATCCTTAGGACGTCCTGTCGGGACATCCAGGACGTCCTATAGGACGTTCGAATTTGGTACCGTGGACGTTCATTGGACGTCTGTGGGACGCACAAATGTTTCACTTGAGGAC